ACAGTTTGTTTCCCAGTTTCTTCAAAGCAGCATTTTCACCTGTAAGTCCAGACCTCGGAGCGGTTAGATCTGCCCGGGGCCGTCCTCGGCCAGGGCAGCCCCTGCCCCACCTGGGTGACGGGCTGGATGGAGGGCGCCCGGCTGGGCGATTGACCTCTGAGGGTATAAGACCTCTCTGACCAGGTGTTTTCTATTGTACCAGAAGCTGGTTTGGGAATGTCCTCTGCCCAGAGCTGGTTCCCCAGCAGTCACTCCCCGCTCTGTTTCCCAGGCTCCCCAAAAACAGCCTTCCCTTACAAGCTCTGCGACCGTGGGCCCCTGCTCCCGGTGGGTCCCTGCGCCGGGCGTCCTTTATCCAGGAGACGAGGCTCGGAGGAACCTGCCCGTTTTCTTCCTGCGCTGTTGATAACTGTGTTTTGGGGATAACATTCACACGTGAACTTTTCCGAAATTAAAGCTTATCTTTAGAAGAATCGCAGTCTGTTTTAAGGAAGCAGAACAGGGTAGCGGTTACCACACTGCTTCATTGGCACCTCCTGCTGGTCCAGGGGAAGGTCGGGGTGAAGGCTGACTGACGGTGTGGAGCCCGGTGTTCAGTGTCGGGATTCCTCCCGCCGGGAGGGCGGCCCCGTGGTCTGTGCCGAAGGGAACGGTGGGTAGAGAGAGCTCGGCGCCAGCCAGGCTGTGCTCGGGTCTGGGTACCGTCGGATGTGATCACGTGAGCGCAGAAGCCTTCCAGAGGGAACAGGAGTGTCTTCACGCCCTCGCACGGGCCGGCTCTGCGGGTCTCCAGGCCCGTTAGGAGCTCTTGGTGCCGTTCTGCCGGCCTTTCCCTGGCCTGGGCTTCTTGGCCGGGGTCCTGGCGCAGGCGGCAGAACCAGGTCACCCCCACCCCCGTCCTGTGGGGTAGAGCTGACTCAGTGTCCCCCTCCCTCAGGACATGGCCTCAGCCTTGTGCTTCTCTCTGGGTACAGGGAAACGGGAAGGTCAAGGTCTCGGGCTCCATCAGAGAGCTGACGGAGGGCGAGCACGGCTTCCATGTCCACCAGTTTGGAGACAACACACAAGGTGGGTGTGTGCGGGCCTGGGGGGCGGGGCGGGGGCCAGACGCTTCCCAGCCGGAGACCAGTCACCCTGGCGACAGGGGTCAGCCCAGGGCTTGGCCACAAAACTGGTTTTTGACTCTTAATTGTGGAAAGGAAGGGGGGGGCTTTGTTATTTTAGATCATGATTCAGACTTGATTGTCTAGAGCAGCGGTTCTCAACCTGTAATTATATATGTGTTTTCCGATGGTCTTAGGCGACCCCTGTGAAAGGGTCGTTTGAACCCAAAGGGGTCGCGACCCACAGGTTGAGAACCGCTGCTATAGAGGGTGATGAGTAATGAGCAGATTTGATCATTTCGTCAATTTCAAAATTTCTGAGGGTGCTTCTTGGTTTCCCTGCCTCTGCTCTGGGAGGCCTGGCTGTGCTCTGATCACTGTGCTGCCCGGGGGGCGGGTAGAGCATGAAAGGGACACTGCCCGTCCCCGGGGAGCACAGGTGCCAGTGAGGTCAGCAGAGAACTGGGGCGCTGTGGCTGCAGCTGCAGGAACGCGGTGCAGCACAGGGGTGGGGTGGGCGAGCTGTCCTCACAGAGCGCGGTCCGAGGTGGTCGGAGGCCCGAG